TTCATCCGCAACTGGTGCTTGGCTCGTGGAGTTTGCAACCACAATGGACAGTGGGGTTCCCATCTCTAGATTGTCATGTCACTTAGGAGATTCCCGTGGGGCCACTCACAGAAAGTGATGCCCGACACCCTCAATTCGAAGCACAATCTTGTGAGCCATGGTCTAAACGTCTTGTGCGGGCCATGGGTTTCCTCAAAAAATGGCTTTGTCTAAACTCCCAATCGAGGGTTCATGATGATCCCTACCAACCCCAAGCAAAAGGAAGTCTTTGACCCACACCCATGGTCTCCTTGATCTGTCTTCCATGACTGCAGGGAAATGGTGTCCTGTTTGCTTTCCCAGAAGCCCAGCGACTATGAGGAACGAAAAACACATTTCTTTGGCCGTTGGTCGATGTTCAAGGGAACCCTCCTTCAACAAATGTTGAAGTTTCTGCCACCTATTCGTATCATCATTCAGTTCAGAATAACCCGGCGTTTCCTTTGCACCAAGTCAGCCCTGCTGTAGAGAAAACATCAGAGGCAGGAACTTGTTGTGGCAGTCATGCAACGCTGGACCAATTTGGAGATCTTTACCAGTATGCAAGCGGTGTGGCCATCCTTGTTCTTGCGCGACGTCCGCAATCTTGCCATGTTGATCCCTATGTGAAAGCTGGGCTCCTGAGTTGCCCTCAGCACAGGGCTCGGTCTATTTTTGAGCGTAGCACTTTTGTTTTGTCGTTTAAAGGGATATTTTAAGGGAACCACCAAAATTCGAACTGTGCAATGTGATTTGTGTCACTCGTAGTGACTTCACAATGAGGGAACCAAGTTCCATATTGGGAGGGGTCTCCATGTTGGGGGGTCCTTTTTTTTCAGGCACCCCCAGAGTTCCCAAAGGCCGGGGTCAACTGCTCGCTGGTCTCCTCTTTTCCGCGTTAGGCCTTCGCCAGCGCCGGCCTTCAGAACGCAGGGAGCGAACAAATCCGAGAAATATTCGGCCAACGGGAATACCAGGCCCTCCAGTGGAGAGGTTAGAATAAGGGTACCCACTTATTTTCTGTCTATTTTAGTAGGGGAGGGGAAAAGGGCACTACTGGGGGACCTAGGAAGCTTCTCAGCATGGATCCCTTTTGAGTGGCTTTTGAATGGGAAGCCAGAAGGAAGGAACGCGATGCTAGGGGTACCCGCGTTCCTTGAGGGGACCAGATCGTGGGTAAATGTGATGATCCTGGACTAATTTGGTAGCGACCCCTACTTACGTTTATGATACACGCCTTTCAATAGAAGTGACTCCCTTTTGTCTGTGCATTCCAGCCCAGGGTCCAGGCCAGCTCCAGAGATGCGACAGGTAAGTGAAATGAGAATATGATCAGAATGAACTGGTGACGAACCATCTCATGTTAGCTTACCCTTTTGGGTCATCAATACTTCAGTCAGACAAAAGTTGATGTTTTCTTGCATGTTTTGTGAAAGACAGTATCAGGTCAGGCGCGGATCGAATTAACAAGTGCGCTTTGTGTGCCAGGCGTGGGCCGTCAATTACAAACACTTGACCAAGAATTTCAGGCCAAAAGGTGAGGTTCATGCAGTATCCTTTTTAAACACGTGGAGGAAGCTCCCTTTTAGTTCACCCAAAAGCTGATGTCTAAAGCCGCAAGAAAAAAAGTAGCCCCCAACCCCCCCACCCCCCGTAAAACGGACGTTGGGACCGTCAACGAGGCGAGGGCTGCACGGCTGCCGCACCAGAGCGAGAGCAACCAGCTGCAGCTCGATCCTGCGGCCCACGACAAGAACACATTCTCCGTTGCTTTCTGCTCCCCTGCTAAAAGTGACAAACTGTTAGTGGTTTAATACGGAAAACCCCATTAAAGTTGGCAACACGTTAAAGTCCTAACATCCCTTGGCAAAATGAAACAAAGCATTTCCAGTCAGGCTTCTTTGATGTTTGATCAAACACGGGGCGACTCTTCCCTCTTCGCGGGCGAAACCGTCACGTTCAATGTTGCAGCCTCGATCTGAGCGCAAATCGCGTTTGAGACCCTCAGTCATCCATCTTGTCTTGATTGGGTGCCCAATGTATTCTCGTGTGCGCTTGTGTCTGTCTGTGTGTGTGTTTGTTTTTGTGTGTGTGTGTGTGCGAATTTGTGTCCTTGTGTATGCGTGTGTTTCGGTGTTTGTGTGTGTGTGTGTGTGTGTGTGTGTGTGTGTGTGTGTGTGTGTGTGTGTGTGTGTGTGTGTGTGTGTGCGCGCGCGTGTGTGTGTGTGTGTGTTTGTGTGCGCGCGTGCGCGTGCGTGCGTGTGTGTGTGCGCGTGCGCAACCTGCACGTGCGCGTGACGTGTGCGTAAGCGTGCGTGTAAGCGTGTGCATTTGCGTGTGCGTGTGTCTTTGCGTGCGTGCGTGCGTGCGTGCGTGCGTGCGTGCGTGCGTGCGTGCGTGCGTGCGTGCGTGCGTGCGTGCCTGCCTGCCTGCCTGCCTGCGTGCGTGCGTGCGTGCGTGGGTGGGTGGGTGGGTGGGTGGGTGGGTGCGTGTGTGTGTGTGTGTGTGGGTGTGTGTGTGTGTGTGTGTGTCTGTGTCCGTGTGTCTGTGTGTGTGTGTCTGTGTCCGTGTCTGTGTGTTTGTGTGTGTGTGTTTGTGTGTGTGTGTCTGCGTGTCTGCATGTCTGCGTGTCTGTGTGGCAGCCTGTTTGCCTGCCTGTCCATCTCTGTCTCTGTGCTCAGTCCTCACCCGGCTGCCACTTCCGCGCATACAGCGAGGGCTGATCTCTTCGTTGCGCTAACCTTGCGCTTTTGCAAACTGTGTTTTACAAGCTAAGAGGGAGCCCTAAATTGCTTGTCTTCCCGTCAGTTCCCTTCACAAGCAATACAAAAGAACAACTTGGAACACACCCCATCCGCGAAATTGCAACATGGTAAAACGCGTGGGGGCTGGGGTGGAGGGAGGGGAGGGGGAGGGAGCCCAAATAAGCCCTTATTAAGCCCCTATAATAAGGCCTTATTTGGGGCTTATTGGGGCTCCCTCTGAAAAACTTCATGGATGGCAGTGGATGTCGCGGCTGCTGGCGGCTGGACTCTTGCCTAAGTACTCGCTTTGCTGTGGGGCAGCGCCAGCGAACATTCAACCCCTTTACCTGAGACATGTTCTACCAGAGCCACCTGCGCATTGGCTGGAAGGCCATGGGTGCGAAAGGAATATCTATTGAACGATGTCTTTAGAGAAACCGAAGCGAACTTATGGTCATTTTTGGGGGGTGCCTGATTTCAGCACGTTGAGCGAACACTGCAAACAACTCATCTGCAACTCGGGGTCTTGCAAATAAAATCAATCAAAATCCCTTGGGTGTGCAAACCTCATAGTATCCAGGTACCAGTGGCTATGACCCTATGACCAAGGCAGCCCATGAAAACATTCGGCCATTTGGCAGGCGCCAAAAAAGAACAGGAGCTTGCGCAGTGCGGACCCCCCTTGAAAGAGTAGTGCTCAATGGAGACACCCGCGCCTTCCCCTAACCCGTTTGGAAAATCCTGGGCCCCCGTGACTAGTGAAACAGCACTTTTAAACCGGCGACTGTCCGCGCTCATGATCTTGAAGCGAACGCGGCCGGGTATCTCAAGCGCCGCGGATTAAATAAATTGCAAAACACAAGCAGCATCTCTGCACAGCTCCGCAAGACTCACGTCTCTTGTGCCCTGCTATGCACTATTCCTCCCATCAAAAAGTATAGTGCGATAGCTTTTTCTCTGCTTTCCTGGTGTCGTTGCCGCTTTGCAAGCTCCTCCGAAGCGTTTGGCCCTGTACAACCTCTGGCCACGCATAAACACTGGACACGGACCTTCAGCATTCACGATGTCGCGAAGCGGCTCTAGAAACAAACAAAGGGATTCCACAGCGGCTGTCTCTAACTCTGACTGCAACAAAAACACACCCATACTCGCACAACGGATATGTGGCTTCGCAGACTAAGCTTTGGCATCTCAGCAAGATGCGGCGGGCCTTCGGCCTCTCTAGGCAAGTCTTCACAGCGCTGCTTTGAGCGCCGAGATTCAAAACAGTCTGGACTCGCGGAGGATATCGAGCTGCTTTGTTCAACGCCTTGTAGGCATCCGTGAGACCTGTCCCTTTGGCTTTTCCAACCCCTCCGACTACGCAATCTTATGGTTGGCGTTGTCTCAGCACAGCGTGGACGCATCAGTTGCGCTTCAGAATCCGAAAGCTTCATGATTTAGAGAAACAACAACGGCACAAGGGCTTTCCGGTTTGCCTTTAACCCCCATGTCAGTTCAGAATGCAGGAGGCCCCCTAATGCTGGCTGAGGTGCCTGGATCAGCCAATTGCAAACCAGCCCTTTGTCCCACCGAGTGATTACATGTCTCAGCCTGTTCCTGATGGCCATGACAAACAGCACACAAACTTCTCTGGCATTGAAGTGGTGATTATTATATATATATATATATGTGCACATACATATGGTCAAGGCTGTCTGCAGGCATAGGTATACATATATATATATAATATATATATATATATATATGTGGCACAGCTTGGAAGTTGCACCAATTGTAAATAACAATTGTTCACCTTGCAGCACATCAAACAGAAGGCTTGCCAGGAGCACAATATCAATGGTGTCTTCATAGAGTGGCCGTCAACAAAGGCAATCTCAGTCGTCCTCCGTTCAAACCAAATGATACATGGGGGTTTACACCGGGGCCTCGGTCAAGAGTCTCTTGCGGCTTCTCATGACAAACAAAGCCCTACCCAAGCAAATCCGTGCCAGGGTGGACGCAATGACCTCCCAAATCTCGTGGACGCCTTCTGCGAACCATGTCACAAACACGTTCCAAAACGTCCGGACTCGCCCGGCCCCGGCGTTGCGTCTCAGCCCCAGTTCCAGCCCCAAGGCTTCCAGGTGACGCGCACGCGCATAGGCCACTCACCTAGGTCCTCCAGCCGAGAGGTGAGCAGAAGGGTACCCGATCTTTTGGCTTCTTCTTCTTCTTTTTTCTGTAGTCTGGTTTAGTAGGGGAACCCTCCCAACCAAAACAGACGGTGAGAAAGGCCACCATTCGCTGGACCTAGTCACTCTGGCAGGGCTTCGATGTCGATCCGCGCGAGCTGCGCCGCCGCCGTGGCGGTGCGCTTGTTGTCCCGGGGCTCAGACTTGGTGGGGCTGGCGGAGAGGCTGTACCTCGCACCGAGGGACCAGCCACGGGAGAAAGCGACCCGGTCCCATGAGTCACTTGCTCACAACCGATCGGTATTAAAATGGTCTACCTGAACCCTCAAAATTCCCTTAAAAATGGGTTTGACCCCCACAATTATGGGGTGATATCCCATTTTTATGGGTAGTTTGAGGGTCCAGGTAGCCAGAATCATGCTTCAAGAATTGAGAAGCCGGGAATCCGCAACTAATTCTGGCTGGGACACTGGGACTGCCCAGCCAAACCTTCATCTACCCAGGTTTTGATTGTGGCTCACATGGGCTTCTGTTCCTTTAAACTGGCAACCCAGGTGGGGTTCCATGCTAGTGGAGGGGAATGACTTCACACAGGCTTTGTATCCCTCCGAATTCTCTCGAGCGCGTGTCCCGAGACCCTTTCAACTGAGTTCATCTGATGGGCTCGCTAACACACCGCCATCCTTTTGAGACTTGAGTTGGCTTGTCCTCAAACTGGACCAGGCCGGCTTCGCTTCCAACAGGGTTTTACTGTGGGCCAACTTCCAGTGAGTTTCCTTTTGCAGGGTGTTTGAGATGAAACCCAGACCCCAGGGTTCAAACTCCCCCTTAAAACCAAGGGGGGTAATATAACCACCATTGTTTACCGTTCAGGAGTTTCATCGTCCAAATTTGGTCTGTGCCATTCCTTCAATGGTAATATTGACCCCCTATTAATCAACCCCAATTTATTGAGAGGGGGGTGTTCCCCTCCAAAAGTGAACAATCCCCACTAAAACCAGGGACACCCCCATATCAATAAACAGGGATTAATTAATAGGGGGTGTTCATTTATCGGTCCAACCCGGGCAAAGTGGTCCAAACAACAACTCCCTGCGCCCGAGACTCCGCCGCACCGCAGCCACCGGCACGCTGGACCTCGGCAAATGCGAACACGACTCAGGGCCCACGACAAACGACACCCCTCAGCCAAGCGCGACTCAGCTTCCCTTAAAAAATGGTAAGCTGGCTGGTTTGGAGCCCTGTGGTTTGGTAGTGTCTGGGTAGCTTCAGAACTCACCCTCAAGCACCTGGGGTTCAAATCCAACGACTTCCCTACAAATTGACATAGAAGCTCAAGAAAGGTGGGCTTTCAAAGACCTCAGGAGCTTCACTCAAAGCGCGCAAAGTACACTACACCTGACTGTAATTCTTGTGCTTGAGCTGCTAGCACCCAACACAGCCGATCTGCCAAAACCAGGGGCATTCAATGACGCCCCAACAATGAGTATCCTTACTCGCCGATCATAAGGCTTCAAATGACTCGCCGTTTGTCTAAAACTACCTGGATCTTCCAAATCATGGAAATTTAACGTAAAATCCGAAAACTACCAGTTTTTGAAACAACACAGTTTTCAAACTCCTGCTTTTTGAGGTAAAACTCCTAGACATTGATTGTCACTTTCAGAAATTGGCTTGGACACCTGAAACCTCTAGAAACCACAATTATTTGGTACTTGACGGAAGGAACCCTCCAATTCAGACATATTTTGAATCAGAATTGTTCACATGATTCAGAAACAGTTATTCTGAATTCACAATTATTCAGAATTCAAAGTTTTTCAGAATTTGCGCCTTTGGGTGGCGACAAACTGGCAAAACCGGAAAGCACCACACCTGAAACTCAGCGCAAAAAAAAAGAGCAAAAAGTCCGCAAACTCCTGCAAATGAAAAAAAGGACGGAGTTTCCGGAGAGTGTATTTTCAGCAAGATCAGTGGAATACCCACTCGAGCGCACAGAGTTGCATCATTGCTGGGACAGTGTGCAGAGTTGTATAGTTGCGGGCCCGAGCAACGAAAAAAACAACAAAACTTGTTTCCAATTGTTTCCCCCAAGAACCCTCCTAGTTTTTGATGTTCACTCCTGCCTTTTGCAAGCGACTCCTGCTTTTTTATTCATGCATTTGAAACACCCGAAACTCCTACTTGTTCGATGGTCTCCTGGAAATAACCCGGAGAACGAAAAAAATGAAGTAGCCCGGAGACGGAGGATCCATGGACATTTATCTGAATGGTTGGATTCGTGCTGTTTTCGTCCTAAACCTATCCTTCAATCGGCCATGGTCATGTGTTGGCACAAGGCGACATATGGCTATGGGTCAAAATCCCAAGCCCGTACCCCCAGTGAACATCCCAATCCGCACTAAAATCAAGCCTAAAACGGGTGAATTCACTTACCCCAAAATGGGATCCCATTGGTTTTGACAACCACAGCCATATGGTAGTAGCCAAGGTTTCGATGACGCGCAAATTGCAAATCCTGCTCGGCCTCGAACCTGCAAGCCCTTGGTACAGCTGCTGCCAAGAAGCACCACGTCTATCTGAACCGCCTGTCGGCCGAAATAGGCACCAGCAAAACCCTGTGAAATCTGTATGCTCTTCTTTTAAGCTTGAGAGATTGAGGGTCATGAGTCACGCCCCCTCCCACCCTTCAATCACACGGACCCTCAAATTCATTAGCGGCCCTTGATCCGGGCATTGAATACGAAGTCCAAGGTAGCAGCACAAAAGACCGCCAAGTGCGGTGAAAGTGGGCCGAGCATTACATCTCTCGCGAAGGGAAGTCTAGGCCTCAGCTGGTGGGCATATCAATCCTATAGTTCTTGTGGGAGAAGCAAGCTTGACAACCAACAAACAACTAAAAACAACAAATACTCCCTTGCTACACACACACACACCAAACATTAAATCCACAAAAGAATCCTCCAGGGCACCAAAAGTCATCAGGAGGGCGAAAAAGACATCGAGCAGGTGTTGGACCAGGCGGCACAAATTTGCCGTGGCAAACGATGGCAACATGTTTGTCTCCTCCATGAAGCTGAGGATATACGGCTGTGGTTGTCAAAACCAATGGAATCGCATTTTGGTTGGTAGGTGAATTCACCACCCATTTTGGAGCCTATTTTAGTGGGGAGTGGGATGTTCACTGGGGGTACGATTTGGATTTTGACCCATGGCCATACCTGACAAGCCTCTTTCAGCTTTTTTCGTCGTTGGGACACCATGCCTCGATATGCGCTGAACTTAACTGCCAAAGATCGCTTACCGGCCTCTGGCCTAGTTCTTGCAAATACAGATGGCTGCGGCTCAAAAAAGTGGTACCAAAATGGAACCCTGGTGAATGGAACCAACGACTAGAACCCGCGGTTTGCCCCAGCTCTTGAATTTTGAGCCATACTCAGATGTTGGGAACATCCCCCGCCCGGCCTTCTTGTCCAGCTCAGACTTGTATGCTACAACGCAACTGAAGAGAGAGCTCTTCAAGGACGCGTTCAATGCCTCGGATAAAAATCCGCGGGATCATCCGATCGCTGCGCGGGGGAACCGCAGGGTGCTGAAAGATGTTCAGCAGGAACATGATGTTGTGGTGTTATCTCTCTTTCCTGTTGTTCCATGTTATTTTTTGTTTTACTCTCTCTCGCTCTCTCCATTAGTTTATGTTATTCTTATTTTATTGTTCTTTTTGGGGCGCTTTGAAAGCCAAACCATAGGATTCCAAATATCTTTGACCAGCTCTTCAGAGGACAAACATCTATTATTTTACCAAATGTTAGCCCGCAGGAGGCATATGGAGGCAGAGCGCCACCTCTCTGTCCAAGAGCACGTCCACATAGTCCTGCTTCTGATCTTCTGTCACGGAGTTGAACTGCTTCTCAATTGCCTGAGCTCAACGGACAAGGGAATCCCGTTTGAAGCTTTTGAAGGGTGGACTCTGAGAAGGAGAAGACGACGAAACCCAAACACAACTAGGTCCTGCAGTAGAGAAGTCAGAATAGGTTGGTACCCACTTTTTTCTGTAGTAGGGGAACCCTCCCCAAAAAAAGTTGGGAAAAGGGCACTACTGGGCGACCTAGACAAGGAACACCAAGGATACCAAAAATAAAACCGGAACCCGTTTACCCAGAAACCTGATTGGATCAGACAAGCAACGCCCTTGCGCTGGACATGTCTTCATGGAATCAAACCGGGCCGGGTGGGCAGAAGTTGCCAACTGTCAGATCTCTGTTCATGAAGTCATCCCATCTGGGCAATTAGAGTCTTTCACCAACTGAAAATAGGGACCTATGAGACGTGGGAGCTCATGGATTGCCAGGGTGTCATTGCATCGCCTGAGTCCCTAGAAAGAACGAAGCGTGTGACGAAGCTGCACGCGCCCAAGGCTCCGATGCTTGAAGGCTGGGAAGCCGGGCTTGGCTGACGTTGGAAGAAGGAAAACTTAAATTTTAGCAGTTAAGTGGTTGGATTTCAACCACTAAACCACAATAAGCAAAAATGTGAAATGTTTCCCAACAACGAGGGAGGGGAGGGAGAGAGGGAGAGGGAGTCCATTTCTTCCAAGACGCCCTGCGAGCTTCTGAGATCGCTGTCGGGTCCTTCGAGCAGCCCCCTCCCCCCCTGGCCGGTCGCCTACAGGCCATATACGAAACACGCAGCAATCAAGGCATGCAATCGATCTGGGAGGTGTCAAAAGATGTACAAATCTGATCCTTCGAATTGCGCGGGTGACTCGTACCCGACTTCCGAATCGGACCCATGGGTCCTGCATGCGCTCGAACAAGGCATGCAGGGCCAGCAGCAAGAGCCTCAGCGCCTGCTTGGGCTTCTGGGTGGCCACGTGCGGGCGCACGCTCTTCCTTGGCCCGTGCTGCGCGTGGGTGCCTTTGCTTGCTAGTGCTCGGAGGATGAGAAATGGAAGGACCAGTAGAAATCTAGTGCTAGCAATTCCATAAACGGATCCGGTCGAAAAGAATGATGGTTGGAAAGAATGGGGAATCGACCCTTGGAATGAACCATCTTTTGTGGTTTCCTTTGAGGGAACCGCAGAGTCCTCATTCCCTACTGAGCACCAGCAACTTAAACATCACCTGTTCCTATCTTCTTCCGCTTGGTCCGGATACACTTTGAGTTTGTGCAGCATGCGAGGACACTAGCAAATGGCAAACATCATCATCATTTGTCAGGTTAATATGGGTCTTTAACAGGAAATTGTCCAGCTTCTATCACATTTCTGGCTCAAAGTGAGCTTGCTTTTGGTGGGTGTTGCGTGCATCACTGAAGTGCGTGTGGGCCACCCTTTGGGGAATCTCCCAAACCCTTGGTGTGTGTGTGTGTGTGTGTGTGTGTGTGTGTGTGTGTGTGTGTGTGTGTGTGTGTGTGTGTGTGTGTGCGTGTGCGTGTGCGTGTGCGTGTGCGTGTGCGTGTGCGTGTGCGTGTGCGTGTGCGTGTGCGTGTGCGTGTGCGTGTGCGTGTGCGTGTGCGTGTGCGTGTGCGTGTGCGTGCTGTGTGGGTGGGCGCTTGTGCTTGCAGTGTTCGTGCGTGCGTGTGTGTGGATGTGTCCGGATGTGTTTGTCTGTCTGTCTATCTACCTGCCTGCCTGCCTGCTTGCCTGTCTGCCTGACTGTCTGCTTGCCTTCCTGCCTGGCTGTCTGTCTGTCTGTTTCTCACAGTGGCTCACTGTGTCTCTCTCGGTCTCTGTTTTGTCTCCGTCCGTCTCTGTCTGTCTCTGTCTTTCTCTGTCTCTCTGTATGTGTATATATATATATACATATATATATATCTCTCTCTCTCTCTCCCTCTCTCCCTCTCTCTCTCTCTCTCTCTCTCTTTCGTTCTCCTTGCTTGTTTGTGTTGTCCCTCAATCTCTCTCTCTCTCTCTCTCTCTCTCTCTGTGCGTGCGTCGTGCGTGCGGCCGTGGTGCGTTGGTGCGTGGGTGGTGCGTAGGTGGTGCGAGGGTGGTGCGAGGGTGGTGCGTAGGTGGTGCGTGGATGATGCGTAGGTGGTGCGTGGGTGGTGCGTGGGTGCGTGGGTGGTGCGTGGGTGCGTGGGTAGTGCGTGGGTGCGTGGGCGGGGGGTGCGTGGGTGTGTGTGTGTGTGTGGGTGGGTGGGTGGGTGGGTGGGCGGGCGGGTGCGTGCGTGCGTGCGTGCCCGCGCGCACCATTTATGCACCACCAAGGCCCGCCAAATAAACAAGACTTGTTCCACACCTGGTATACTCCAAAGACAATATATGTTCGGAGAATGATTCATTTGTAGTCTACCCCGAGATGTCAAATCTATCCTTGGAGGAGACCCCGAAATTCTGGGTTGCTGTTGACCCCTCTGCAAAAAAAAACAAACTTGTGGCTTTAGGAGGAGACCCCAATATATACTTTTTGCACCCGGCTGGCAGCTCCCCCTTTCAAAGGAAGAGGCATCAGCTCGATGGCTTGTTGGAGCCTCTCCTGGGTCTTCTCAGCCACCTGCATGTGCCTGGACCGGTGCTTTATGCGGGGGCGGTTTATGAGGCCATTGCCCCCCGGTCTCAACCATTGTCCCCCCCCCCCCAAACTCATGGTTTTCGTTTGTTGGTTTCCTTTTAACAAGCCAAGCAACATGGCTCCCCAAAAACCACCTAGGTCCTCCAGTAGAGCCTATAATATTTTCTTCTGTAGTCTGCTTTAGGGGAGCCCTCCCCAAAAAAAGGGTAAAAGGGCACTTAGAGAGGTTAGAATAAGGGTGCCCGATTTTTTGACTTTTTGCCGGTAGTCTATTTTAGTAGGGGAACCCTCCTAACCAAAAAAGGGGATTCAAAAGGGCACTACTGGAAAACCTAGGAGGGTTCCCCTTCGTGGCTTTTCAGGGGCCCATAAATCAACGGCACCGCCCCCATGTCTACTCTGATCGAAACGAGCGGTCCTTCTAGAAGACGCCAGCTCATCCATGCGTTCGATCTCCTTCTCCTGATCTCGCTCCGTGGGAGCGCCGGAAACCGAAGCTTCCCTCTATCGGGGCGCCTTTCCTTGGAGCCCATTGGTTCCATTCACAGAAAAGTGGCAAATGTCGTGGGCGGTGGGTGGTGGGTGGGCGGGTGGGTGGTGGGTGGCGGGGGGGGGCGACTGAATGAAGTCACTTTCCCCCGCATGGCAACCTTCCTTCAGGATGGCTACGGAAAAAGACAGAGGCTCACAGGCACTCTTGCCACAACCCCCCGAACGGCACCTAAACAGTCCAAGAAACCTGGAAACAAGACCCCCCCCCATAGGTATCCTTTTAGGGGAAATAGATGGCCCTGGTAGATGATTAAACTACCAGGTAAACCAGGAATCGCCATCGATTTTTCTAGTAAAACAACCAAATAGGACACCTATGCCCCCCCTTCTTGATTCTTTTTGTGGGACACCAAAATCACTGGGAGAGCGTGTCGCTGAAGCCAAGCTGCCGCTCGGATGACCTCAGATCAAGACCGAGCGAGCAAGCCAGCCATGATCACTTTGAGGAAACCAGATCATGTTTGGTTATTTACAGCTGTTCACAACATGCTGTTTGTGAAAACTCCAGAGAAGTCTGGAGCATGTGCTTGTTGGCACCGTTCAACGCTGTTCCCGGTGGGCCATCCCGCCAAGAGGTTGCTGGCTGGATCTTTCCTGCGTCACCCCAGCGCGCGTTCAGGATATTTTGAGGCGCTTTCCAAGTACCCGGCCCTTTTTCAGGGTATCATGTCGACCCTCTACTAAAAAAGGTGGTATTTACCACGGAAAGACAGGGTATGTTGAGTAGGGGGTAGGGTTTTTTTGTCCATTTTTACCGCCAAAATGGTCCAGGCCCAAAAAGGTTAAAGTCCAGGAACGGAAGTTTGCGAAAAACGCGCAAATCTACCCCTCGCTACGTCGATTATCTCTGCTGCTTAGCCTGTCTCGACTGCGCTGTTGGGAACAAAAAAGAAAACTGGTGCAGCTACAAAGTCTTAGAGGCGATCGATCCGAATCTCTGGGCTGGCTTCTTCATTCTGCACCTTGCACAGTTCCTCTCTTGACAGCCTCACCAACGTCAGCACTTCCCTCTGCCTCGCAAAACAAATATGTGTTTTGTGTTGTTTTGTTGTTTTTCTCTTCTTTTTTTTGAAAATAGTAATAATACTAATACTAATAGTAATAATAAATAATACTCATAAACAATATCCCGCTTATAAGATCATCTCCAGCTGAAGATATCCCCGATACCTTGCACCACCTCCAGGCGGAGGTGTTAAACAACATCTCAGCTGAGGCTCGATGCCCGCCACGGTCTCCGACCTTTCCAGCTGCAGCACGGCCTGCGCACTGGCCACACGGAGCTGCAACCCCAAAAGCGCACGGTATCTTAGGTCCTCCAGATTTGAGGTCAGAATAAGGGTACCCGATTTTTTTCCTGGTTTGTCTACGTTAGTAGGGGAATCCTCCCCCAAAAAAGTTGGTAAAAGGGCACTACTGGGGGACCTAGTTATGATCCCAGAGGAACATGCATCAGACAAGTTAGGCTTATCACAAGACCTCCGGTTGAAAGGGTGAGCCCCCGATCGCTTTCCAGTGTTTGCCGCACTAAGGCTTGGACTGGAATTCAAGGGACAAACTGTACCGGTATGGGTTTCAAGGCTGTCGACAGCAATCCAAGTCAGAAAAGTGCACTTGACACCAACTGCGTCAGGAACAGCAGTGCCTGTCCGACCTGCACTGACACATCAGACTTGTCAGCTACACTTTTCTGCACGAATGTAAATTCACAAACTTGGATATCCCAACGGGGGCGAAACACTCCACGCCCAGAATCCCAACCAACGCGACCCTCAGGTTGCAAGCGTGCACGGCAAACACAGTTACAGCTGCACGAATGACCAATGGACCTGCGGGACAAAGGCTTCCAGCCTACCACTCGGATATTTGGACCCGCATCTGTCGTTGGAACTTCCGGAACATTGGAACTCGTGCGAGGAAAACCAAACGACCTTGGCAGTGGTTCAGCCTTGTGCGGCATATCGGGTAACGCCAATCAGGGACACCTGAAGTGATGTGGGCTTCTCCATGATGGGCATTTCTTTCTCAACGACCCCTCGGACATCATTTCAGCTTTGATGCTTGGCATTCCGTTTTGCTTCAAGAGTCCCATATCGATCGGATTTGTGTTCTGTGCTTCCAACTGCTGAGTTAGGAGCCCACAGAACAACAAGCTCATTGAATCCCACTCCCGGAAAGCAATTTGTCTCGACCTCTAGTTTGTTTTGCCACATGATTGTCACCAGCTGGGCAGCCTCTAGTTTCTGCGACCAGCTACTAAACACGCACATAACAGTATGCTTACATCTGGAAGGTGGCGAAACTTGGACACAGTCGAAGTGAACCAAGGCCAAGGCCTGCAAGACCGGATCAACATCATTCGCAGGCATCGATTCACACAGGTCACAGTCTGAATTGTGGCTTGAACTATGCCTAGGTCCTCCAGAGAGGTTAGAATACGGGTACCCGATCTTCTTTCGGTAGTTTTTTTTTGTAGGGAACCGAATCTCCCAACCAAAGCAAGAAACGGTGAGAAAGGGCACCAAGCTGGGGGACCTAGATACTTTTTGGTGACTCAAAGAATTATCACGTTCATTTGTCTTTACCAACTGCACCCTTCGCACAGTCATCTGCGTGGATCAGCGTGGAATCTTCAACAGACTAATGAGCCCAGCTGCAGCACAGGGATCCGGATACATGATAAACACCTGAACGTTGCAACTTGTAAATGGTGGGAAACCAACTTTATTTTGGTGTGGAAAAAGCCACATGTTTCAATTGGTTGCAAAATGGATATCTTTTAGGGAGCCATTTTGGTGTTGAAAAAGCCACATGTTTCAAATGGTTGCAACATGAATTTCTCTTAAGGAGCCCTGCACCACCAACCCAACACTCAACCTGCTGAGCCCAGCTGCATTTTTCCCATCTCCCGAGCCTCGGGCGAGCTCTTCACAATCTCCAGGGCTTCCTTCTGCAGCTCAGGAGGAACGAACTGTAGCACCTCGAGGGCAAAGGGAGGGTCTCCAACAATTCCGATCTGAAGGAATCCAGGACAGGAAATGGAAGGATGGTGGCCCTCCACGGGAAAAAAACAAAAACAAGCTTGAAGCTGCGCAAAGGCTGTTAGGAAGACAGTAGTCTCCCACAGCCTGGGAACTTTGATCTGAGTTTTGCTGGCGGCGAAATACTCGTTCGAGGCATGTTGCTGTCTGCTTGCTCGTCAACCCGACTTGCCCATGGAATGCATGCCTTGCAATGACGCCACTTGACTCCTTGACACTCTCGGCTTGATCAATCAACCTATTCCCAGGCAGCACTAGGCAGCCGCACAACGTGCATCCGTTGACCTGCGTTCTCATGTTTCCTCGATCTGTATCTGTGGGGTAAGCTTGTGGGAATGGGTGTCCTGCTGAGCAAACATGTTCGCCCAAAAGCAGTTGAACAGCTGACTTGTAGCCTTCAAGTGTCCATTGTTCACAGGGATTTTGTTTTTGCATGAGAGTTTACTGTTTCACGCAGCGGGCACCCTCGGACAGCAGCAGAGAGAGAGAGACTTGGAGTCCAAAGGAGTCCAGACAACTTCCTCGCACGGGCCGCAACGGACATCAATTCGAGGACGCCTTCACTTGACTTACCTTGAGCCTCTTGTTGAAGGCTTGGCAAAAGGTAAGTCAAGTGAACAAGTCTTGCCACAAGTCTTGGCAAACATGATTGACTTCGCCCACCATAGCAATGTCACTGTTTTACGAGGACCCTGCCTGCACGTGTCCTGCCCAGTTTCGCTCGGTACATCTGAAAAGGGCAACAGCCTCTTCTCTGAGGATGAGGGGGGTGTACATCCAAGTCTTGCATGCAAAACCACTCTTTTCGAACGGTTGCACCAGGGTGAAAGAATATGGCACAACTCCCTTTATGTGGGTAAGTAAAGGGGATGACTTCACCAAAACTGGTTGGACTCGTGCCATCTACTTTCATCCAAGTGCGGGAGACTCCAAATGCCCTCGAAAACGGCTTCGACGACGAAGACGCGCCTTTGGACTAGACTGCACGGCCCGTTCCACGATGCTGCGGTTCGTCCTCATGCTCTCCTCAGGAGCACAGAATCGACCACGGACCGGGCATCGCGAGTCATATGATTCATATGTATTGCTTCCCCCTATAAACAAATCCAACCTTTTTAGTCATATATTGCTTCCCCCTATACATCAATGCAACCCTTTCTAGTGGGGGGAGAGGACCGGGGTTGGGAGGCATTTAGGGCAAGCGATATGGCACCTGGGTAAAGGGTCCCTTCGACGGAAACGGATCCTGCCGTAGTTTCTTTATGGTGCCAAAGGGCAAGTGCCATGACCAAGGCAACCACTCAAACTCAAATGGACCATGGAACTCATTGAGCAGTCCATCCATGGCGAAATTGTCTTTTCCTGGACCCTCAAGCAACCTTCGAAAATTCGATACTGCCGTGTGACCCTTAAAATTGCGCGGTTTTCCTTTTGTTCCCCTTTGAACACCACCCAACAAAAGGGTACCATCACAAAAAGACGAGCCATCCATTCCATAAGTGCCTACTTTTGTTGGTGGCTTGAGGCTCCGTCCAGCTAGGCCCAAACCAGTCGTGAGAATCACGTCGAGAGACTGGCGCCAGTTTGAAGGCTTCCCCGTTCTGCGCAACCGCCGCGAGGATCACATCCCCATCTTCCAACGCAGAGCCCTCAGGCGGGGAAAAAAAACGGGGTGGCGCGTCTTTTTCAGACCTCGGACCCTCCCCGCCGGAGAAAAACAGGGCGTCCCTTTAAACAAACAAAACAAAACCTGCAGGTACCCTCAAAAAGATGGCAGCGGGCGCCGGCCATCGAGAAAAGCGAAGGCCTCCTCTTGTACTTCCCTTAGGAAACAAATGGCCTCCCCTTTGGGTAAAGAAGTGGAGCTTTGGAGGGCCCAGGGCCCAAAACGAGTCCCTAACACCATAAGTCCCTAACTAGGTCCACCAGCAGAGAGGTTTGAATAAGGGTACCCTTGTTTTCTGTACTCTATAACAACAGGGGAACCCTCCCCCCAAAAACGGGTGAAAGGGCACTACTGGGGGACCTAGCTAATATACGAGTTCCAAAACATCACCCTGTCAGTCGCCAAGTAGGCATGTGCCGTTCTCCAAAGAACTGCAGTCTTCAAAGATCTGCTTCCATGATCGTTGGAAGGAGGAACGAGGGCAAGTTCCGCTGGAGTGGTGTTGATTTGTTGGTTTTGAAGGGAAGTGGTTCGCAGTAGGGCATAACCTTTCCGGGTGTTGGGAATGCACCCTCTTTTGGGGGATTCCCGGATAAAGGAAGCCAAACATTGGATGGACAGTTTCTCCTGGTGTTGGGAATGAACCCTTTTTCGGGGATTCCCGAATAAAGGGCACCAAAAATTGGATCAATTGATGGGTTTTGCTTCTTGGTCCTTCCGCATTTCTCTCGCCTTCCGAACGAACGGCCGCATTTTCCGAGGGGCGGCTGCGAACTCCAAGGCGAGGCCCTCCTGGCTCACAGCCTCCCGCACCACCTCCGGATCCACCCGCAGCTCCTGGCGCGAGAGTTCGAGAGTTCGAGCGTCGAGCGTCGCGAGACGCGCAAGCCGTGTCATGCTGAAAACACCTCTGGCGGGGAAAACGCGATGTGTAGAGGATCATCCTAAGGAATAAAGCAAAAGACCGCTGAGCATAGTTGTGAGTCCCCCGCTTTCGTAACTGAAACTAGTCGAAGTTCCAAGGCAAAGCATGGGAAGCTATTATATAAGGGAGAATCCCCTGCCCATTCCATCAAACAGGAGGTGCCCTACCTTTTTTGCAGCAGTGAGTCACACACCCCAAAGCATGCCCATTGCAATCTCTTCCCTATGATACCCGGAATGCGAGCTCAAGGCAATCATTCCCTGGTCCGGCTGAGTTGTCTCGGGGTTGCAAATCCCTGCCTGTAAGACCGCATGAGTCATAATCAAAACCCGGTGCTAAAATGGTCGTAATCCCAGAGCCATGTGAAGAATTAAGAAGGCGACCGGAGCTATTTATGGTTGCGATTATCCCTTACTATCCTTCATCTACCCAGGTTTTGATTTTGGCTCACATGGCTTCTTTTGGGGCCCTGTTGTGATTTGATTGCGGAGTGTGAAGCACAAAGATCGCCCCTTTTTGTCACTCCTGGCCTGCTAGTCGAATCAGAATTCCTATCCCAAGTCCAACATCCACCGCAGTTTTCACGACACCTGCAAGAATGGACCTCAAGGAACGGGGGGTTGCAAGGCGACCGCCCCGACCCGTAAAAATCCGGCGACGCGAGCAACGTCCTCTGCGGCAAATTGGAGGGCCATGCCATTCTGCCTCACTGCCTACAACCGCAGCCGAGATCAGGGCTAGGGGGGTGGGTGGGCAAAAGAATTGAGGGGTTGCCCTCTTGGTTTGCGTTTGCCGTTTTCAGGGCTCTTTTTGTGGCGGGCATCTGAAGCCATATTTTCCAACACGGTGCTCAGTCTGTGGCTTGTACCGGTCCATTTGAGAAATCCTCAAAACTTCCCCGAGCGAAATGGTGGCTTAAAGCGACATCCCTTCAAAGTGATGCAACCCCGGAGCCCCCTGAGTTTCCCCCAAAAAGGGAAAGGGCGCAGAATGTGTGCCGCTCTTTCCGTTGCTCTTGTCCGGTGTTCCCATTTCCTACCAAACTGTCCAAATGAACCAAACCAGGTTTCCGCCAAATGAAAACAGTCAGGGTGCGGAACGACATGACTTGCTGGTGCTCAGCAGGGTGTTGGGAATGAACCGGAAGGGGATTCCCTTGAAGGAAACCAAATTGGATGAATGATTTCTCTCGGGGTCATTCCAACTTATTCCCTGCCCAGCGCACCAGCAAGCTTCCAGTTTAGCTTTCAATCAAATAACCAAACCAGACTTCCACCAAAATAAGAAGGTTTTCTCCAATCTAGCTTTCTTCCAATCCTTCATGTTTGCCTTTTCCCCCTCTCCCTGCCACCAATTCCAGTTGAGCTTTCCTGTTCCAGGTTTCTCTTTTCCGAGTCAAAAAACAACTACTTCCAGTTCATGTTTCGTTTTGTTTCCTGCACTTTCAAGCTTCAAGGGTTTTCCTGCCATCAATTCCAGTTGAGCTTTCCTTCTCGTGTTGTTTTTCTGCATCCAAACTCAGATGCTTTCTGCTCCCCTGCAAAAAGTGAATAACTTTTAGCGGTTTAATACGCAACACCCGTTAGTCGGCAAAAAGTTAAAGTCCTAACATCCCTTGACAAAGTGCACTAAAGGATTGATTGCCGATCAACTCCCCAGTGAGAATAGGGGTAACTTTGGGAACAAGACCCTTTCCAGAAAACCAACCCAATGAAACAATGCAACAAAGTGTCCCTTTGATCGCCTTCTTGGTGACCATGTGTAACCCCAATTTCGCTCCAAAGACAAAAAGACAAGTTTTTTTTGGGTGTTAACCACACCTGCATCCAATGTAGAAAAAGTGAAAGTCCTAACATCCAAAGAAAAAGAATTATCCTCCGCTCCACCCGCCTCCATGACCAGCTCCTTCTCCTTGCGCAGCTCCGGCGGCGCGTGCATCAGCGACAGCCCAGAGCTCCGCACCTCAGCCGGAAGTGCACGGGCGCGGCGCTTTGACTTGGTTGACGTTGGAAGGGGAGCAAACAAAAAAAAACAGTTAAGTGGTTGGATTTCAACCACTAAACCACAATAAGCAAAAACGTAAAATGTTTCCCAACGACAACCATGTTGAGGGGGGGTGAAAAGCAAGTCCGGAAAAAAACGGACTCAAGAGAAAAGGTGGCTCTTAGAGAATGGGATCAAATTTTAAAACACTGGAGCTCCTTTCCAAAATCTGGGCTTAGTTGAGATCAAATTAGAATGGGTTTACTACAGAAAAGGATCCAAAAAAGACTGGAGCTGCTTTCTTAAAGATGAGTTTGGCTAAGAGCAAAGTAGAAGTGAAATGGAGTTCAAGAAATGAAGAGAAATATGTTCTTTCCAAAATATGCGGGTCAGTTGAGATCAAATTATAGAATGGAGTTCGATGAAGGACATATTCCTAATGATAATGCCAATCTTAAGTTGGAGTTTAAATGGGGATTGCTAAAACTGTAGGTGGAATCTGACACGGGAACACACTTGTTTTTTAAATACAATCGGGCCCCAAAACGAAGCGAATCAGCCATATCGAAATGCTGATCAAGTATCAACCAGCATCTCCTCTTCAAAATGGAAACTCCCCCTGTGAAACGGCACAGCTCAGGATCTGCCATGAGGATTTGGAATGGCGTGTTTGGCATGGGACAGCTCGAGTTTCTTCACACCTTTTCCAAAGCAACAAACCCGTCGAGTCAACTCGAGCTATGAGGTCCGGCATGTGATTGCGCTTTGTGGCAAACTTGTGTTTTTGCTTTGCACTTGTTCAGTCTGTTGTGTGTTGTTTAACAAACTGTTTGCATGAACAACTCGAGGTTTTCCAGGTTTGTGTGCTTAGCCGGTTTTCAACAACGCAGGCCCCACGTGCACGCTACTGGCTACTGTGTTGTTAAGAATAGAGGCAGGGGAATCGGAAAAGAGCAAATGGGGAAAGGGGACGTGTTGGGAAAACCTGAACTATATAGCTCAAGACAAGGCCCTCTTCAGTTTGTTGGGACAAAAGGGAGGGAATACAATATCTTGATTCATTCTGGTGTTCAAGGGAAGTGAACAGAACCGACTAGTCATTCAGCACTAGCGACACCATTCTCGCTTCCAACGAAAAGGACACCCCGTGCTTAGGTTGACTTCAAAGATCGACCCTAAGAAAACATACCGAACTGGACTGTCCTCAGATCCCCTGCCAAAAGATCACTTTTAGCGGGTTAAATAGAAATCCCTACTGAACCAATTCATCTGGTGGGAAGTGAACACAACAGAACTATAGTCATTAGTGATACCAGCTTTGAAGTCAATCCCCAACAAAACACACCAAACACCCGCTCACTTCCCGAGTGGACTGGCCAAAACAAGTGGACCCAAAAAGGCTAAAAACGCAAGGAACCGGACGGCTGGGAGCCGCCAAGATACTAGGTCCTCCAGTAAAGAGGTTAGAACAAGGGCACCAACTTTATTCTGTCGTCTATTTTAGATAGGAGAACCGAATCTCCCAACCCAAAAGAAAGGGGTGAGAAAAGATCTCCCAACCAAAAAAAAGGGGTGAGAGAAAGAGCAAGGGCACTACTCAAAAAACCCAAAATACCGCACACCCACAAAGGACACGCCCGCCCCCACTTTCTGGGGTTTGACACACCCGGCCCATCTGAGCCGCCGCAGTGCGCACCAAGTTGTGGATCAGCTTCCGCTCCAGAAGCTCGAAGCTGGCGAACTTCAACCTCATCTGTGGCCGCTGGGAGAAAGACCCGCCTCTGGTGTTTTGTTTGTTGGTTCCTTTTCCATGCTCTGTTGTTTGTTTGTTTTTTTGTGTGCCTGTTTATTCTTTCTGTCTTTCCCTTTTTTCTTTCTTTTTTGGGGGGGGGGGGGGGTTAGCAACGGTTAGCTTTTTTGAGGTAGGTCAAGAGCACTTCTTTTGGGGGGGGAGTTTTTAGGGTAGGGAAGCCTCCTTGAACCACAAAGGAACAACAAGGGGCACAGTTGAAGCTCTGGGGTAAAATAAGCGAACTCATTGGAGCTGGAACTGCGTGGGAGTATACATATCATGGTGTTTGCTCGACTTATTGCCCCTTCAAAATGGAACTCTCTGCAGGGCTGTGTCTTCCGGATTCTGTGAGGAAGTCGGGATTTCAATCGCTCCCAGCAACGGCTCCAGAAAGCACAATGGAGTGATATAGGTCGTCTGTGGTCAACAGCCGCAGCTACCGTTTGCAGCGCACCCCATTTGAACACTGGGCCGGGGAGAACCGTCACCTTGTTCACTGTCACAATGGCCAGAAGTGCACCCTTTCCAGAGGTTTTTTGCAAAGAATCAGGAGCTCGGCCTCAGTGCTCACCCGACAATTGGCTGATTCTTGGTTTGAAACCATATTCCCCATCTCACGTTAGATGATTGGGTGCTGACAGTTGGCTGATTTTGTTTAATGTTCGCCCCATTTTCAGCTCAGTCTGCTCACCTGTTCAATGATTTGATGCTGACAGTTGGCTGAGTTTTCAGCTCAGTCTGCTCATTGTTCGACGATTTGCCCAACGAGGTGCAACAACTACGACGGCTTTACTCGGTTGCTTTCTGCTCCCCTGGTAAAAGTGAATAATGTTTAGAGGTTTACTACAGAAAACCCATTAGTCGGCAAACAGTTCTCAAGTCCAAACATCCCTTGTCAAACTGCACCAAAGGATTGATTGGCGATCAACTCCCCACTAGGAATAGGGGTAACTTTGAGAACAAAACCCTGTCCAGAAAACCAACCCAAAGAAAAAAACAAACATGTGGTTTAAAACGGAAAACCCCTTAGTTTACACAATTCGGCAACTCGAGTCACCGAGTCGACGCCGTGCTGCCGGGCGGCGCCTGGCCGTGACGGCCCACCGCCTTCAGCATGAGGTCCTTGAGCGCTTCGGCTGAATTCGCGTCCCGTGGGTGTTGTCGTTCTTTTATTATTATTATTATTATTTTTATTTTTATTATTATTATTATTACTATTATTATTGAATTATTGTTTTTTTTATTTATTGACTTTTGCCGGAACGAACAGCGAGAGGTCCGTGCTTTTCTGGTTTGTTGTCAGGTGAATGAGTTGCTTGCACTATTCTGCTCAGAAAAAAAGGTGCTCATATATACTCAGTCCGAAACAAACAACACAACAAGGTACACACACACACAGATGTAGTATACACGCACCATGTATATGTTCGCCAAAACTCAGCTTTGACTCATCGCGGGCATAGCCAAATTGGTCCAAACTTGGCCTCGAATACAGCCTGACCCAATGATGCCAAACAAACCCTGCGGTGGGCTTCCCAAAAGAAGAATCCATCAAATGGTTGCTTTCCCAAAGGGCTTCCTTAACACAACTCCAAATCAGCAAACCAGACCCAGCGGCCATAGGACAAACGGCCACCACTGTACGTCTCAGGAAACATTAGGTGTCTTAAAAATGGGGATGCCCCCCTGTCCGGTGCCATAGCAACGTGGATACCTTCGAAACATCTACTGGGGAACTCACACAACAAGATTGGAAGGAGGTCTGTCTCAGGGTTTCTTCTGGTGTCTTAACATGGGCAACCCACACACTTGGCTGACATTGGAAGGGGAGCCCAATTTCTAATACTTTTAGCAGTTCAGTGGTTGGATTTCACCCACTAAACCACAATAAGAGCAAAAATGGGAAAACCGTTTCAACCAACAACAACCCATGCACATGGCTTCTTCAAACTTTCCCCCGTGAAACCCACAAAAGGAGAGCTCTCGGCCCGGCGGCGTAGTTCTCCCCGAAGGTTTGGGCACGGAAGCGCTCGATGGTGGCGTCGATGCGCTCGAAGCCTCGGCCGTCGTCGAATTTTTTGTTTTTCCCCCGGTGAAATGAGCCACAATCCTGTCTCGGTCCCTCTGCAGCTACGTACATGGCTTAAACCCACTGCATGCGCTGCCCAAGGCATCTCGGTGAAGGGACATGCTCCTCGCCATGGTCGCATGCGAGCAAAAATGCAAATGCTGAAATGCGGAGCTTCCCATAACAAGCATGAGGGCCCCCTGGGATGAGAAGAACAACCCTCAAAATGGCTGTGGGTCAAAACCAATGGGATCCCATTTTTGGGGTAGGTGAGTTCACCACCCATGTTGCTCTATTTTTGTGGTTGGATTGGGATGTTCACTGGGGGTACGGGATTTTGACCCATGGCCGAATGGGGGGGGGGTGATTTTAGGAAAGACAGGCTCTGACAAAGGGCCACCAGTTGCCATGATCTCGCTGATCAGCATCTTCTCGTCTTCCATGCGATCGCACCTGTCATGCGGATTCGGCAGCCTCCCGAACGAACTGCTCGAGACTGTGCGTTTCTTCGAAGGATCTGGCCGCGACATCCAGTGCTTCATGAAACACGGAATGAGCATGAGCCATCATGAGCCTGTGGGGTGGTCGATTTGTCGATTAGACGCTTTCTGCACTGGAAGCCTCCCATGTTGACTGACAGGCACATCAATGAACTGGCAGGTTGTCGTCGAAGAGTCGCCATGCACGAGAGACCACATAAGTTCAGCAACAGAACTATGACGCATCATGACATCTGGTCACAACTCCCGATGTTCCTTGTCGCCCCTTTGCCAAGTGACCGCTCCATCCCACAACTCAGCGAGCAGCCGCACAAGCACCAGGGTTTGTGCTGCGTGATCAAGCCGGGCTCGCAAATACAGCAATATGTAGGGATTGCCTTCTAGGTTAAGAAGTCGGGTCTAGGATAAGAAGTCGCTGTCACAATGCAAACATCGATGTTGCTCCGGGCCAATTCAAACAGAAATGCCATTCATGAGCTCAAAGGACTCAGCCTCGTGACCAGCGACACTGTCATGCCGCCCATCAAGAGCCAAGAGGAGCTCAGATGGTTTTTGCCAACCGTGATGTATACACCGCCCGAAAACCACACAACAAATCCCAGAGCATCTTTTGGGAAGTGGATCACCTAAGGCGTTCAAAACGCAGGCCCCTTCTGCTGCCCCTCTCCCGACCCTCCCGCCCTGTGGGGTTCCCATCCCTATGACTACTTTGTCCCGTCATTGAAGGAGCTTCGCTTGGTATTATAGAAATGAGCAACCCAAAAACCAATTTCCCACAACCATGTACCTGTTGACCAGATCGGGCAAAATGGAGACTGGGAAGGAGTCTGTAGCCCAATTTTCTACCGCTGCCTCGCTTGGATGGTCTTCACCTTCACATTGGCGGCCCACATGCAATCCTCCCACGTGCTGTTCTTGCAGGAGTCGCCCCTTGGTTGCAAGGCCCAGCATAACCAGGGAACAAGGCCCAACATAACCAGGGGACAAGGCCCAGCATAGCCAGGGGACAAAGCCCAACATAACCAGGGAAACAAGGCCCAACATAACCAGGGGAACATGTTTAACTTCCTCCATTTTGCTGCTCGGAGATTTCGTGTACCTCCAAGTCCTCCAACTGCCCTTGGAGTGAGGAGTCACCCTGCAGCAAGCCAACCTTAAGGGTTTCCACATAGCTTGGCTGATGTTGGGTTTGGGGAGCAAAAATTCTCAAATTTTAGCAGTTAAGTGGATTTGGATTTCAACCACTAAACCACAATAAGATCAAAAATGGGAAACTATTCCAAACAACAACCACCATGATAGGCCCGCGGCAGCTTGTCTTCAGCCAATGTGACATGTCTCAAACCAATGGTCTGGGTCTCCGTCATGGTGGACATAGAGGCGAAGCACAAGGCAAAGCCTAAGTTGTTGCCTAGGTCCTCCAGCAGAGAGGGTGGAATATGGGTACCATTTTTTCTGTAGTCTATTTTAGTAGGGGAACCCTCCCCCGGTGAGAAAGGGCACTACTGAAAAAACCTAGTTGCTGTTGATGTAGTCTCATGAATTGGCTTTCATCATGGCACCAATTGATGTTTGTTTGAGTGGTTGTTCCCTTTGGGCCGCGTCGAAACCAGAAAAACCCGGTGAACGGCTTGCACTGGGCACTGCTGTCGGCTGCTGGCCCACTTTCGCGCCAAGCCACAGGAAGAACTCGAGGCGTTGAAGAGTTTGCTCCTGGCGCCGGCCATTTCTCGCAGCCCGAAGTTGGGCGCGCGGCGCGCTGCAAAACAGCATGAAGGTCAGTGGCCTTGATGTGAAACAAAAAAAAAACAGAGAAACGCCGCCCAGGTCAGTGGTTTGCAAGCCATGTTGGATTGACGAAGAAAAAGCCTGGCGGCGACTTGCAATCATTCCATCGCCTGGTTGATTTGGTTGTTTCACATTGGGCTGCGCGCATCGGCTCGAAAGAAACTGCGCAACATGATGATGCCCATGATGGGTGGACGGGGGGGGGTGGGCCCTAACTTCCATGCTGCCCCGCACGTGCCGATCCTCAGCGTGTTTTGTGAGAACAAATGCTACAAGCTGCAACCGATTAGCTGTCATAGCATGTCAACATCAGTAAAGGCGGTCCTCAACTTGGAGAACACGCCCTGAATTTCGCAGGATTCGCACATCTGTTTCAAAACTAAGTAAGTTGAATAGCCACTACTATATATATATATATATATATATGTAATGTGTATGACATGAATCTATACACATATATGGCTATATACGTACGTACATCCCGATATGCCCCACATGTACCCCCGAAAAGGTAGTAGCCCACGTTGAGGGAAACCTTCTGGTTGCGTGGGCGCGTAATTCCACCTTTTCTCCCCTAAACCTCTTTAGTATGGCATTTTACAAAATACCAAGGTGATACTGTGGATGGACGAAATCCTGCACCACCTAAGAAATCCTGGGATGATGATGCCCTTGCAAATACCAACAAACAATGGTTTCCCATAGTTTTAACTTGGTGCAGGATTTTGTCCATCCACAGTTCCCGGGCCCCAATGCATGGTTGCAGGTAGATTGGCAACTGAACTCGTCCTTGTAGAGGTCGGACATAGACGTGCTCACGTCCACGTTGCCCTGGCCCATGCGCTGAAGTTGCCGAACCAGCTTTGCTGGTTCCCAGCAGGCAATGAGTTGGAATGACCCCAAGAAACACCATTCCCTGTGGGTTCCTTTAAGGGAACCCCCTTCTGGTTCATTCCCAACACCCTGGGTCATTCCCTGAGCACCAGCAACTTGCATGACATGCGCAGGCGTACTGCCAAAGAATATTCCAAACAGGCGCGTTGCTATCTGTCCAAGTCAGCGGGCATGTGCGGCATGTCTCAAAATGGAGCCCTCGTTCAAAGCATAGGTCACCTTTTGAACAGATGGGAACCCCCCTGGTGCATGTGGCAAAAAAAACCAATCTAAACCGGTGGAACCCACCGATGTCTAGCCAAACCCAAAAAATCTAGGGCTTGATTCCGATTCCATTCGCTTCAACCATCGCTCTTTTCAACCACCTGCTGCCTCCTCTGGGGTTTTTGGACGGTTTCCTAAAAAGAAGGATCCCTGGAAAGAATGGGGAAGGTACACATAGAAAACAGGACACCTGCCAAAGCAACGGCCTTCAGGGCTCTCTCCACCTCATGGACGCACCACAGGCGCTTGTACAGGTCCTCAGCATGTCGGGCTGGCATGAACTTGTTGGGTGTCTTCGTGGGCGCATGCCCCTTTTGAATTCCAAAAACATGCATGAATGAACGCATAAAGAAAGAAAGTAACAAACTAAAACATCAGCAAATGAATAAACATGCATTAAATAACACAACACAATGACAACTACATAGTTCACAACATGGAAAGGTATATATGTATATAAACAAAACTCAAAAAGACACAGAACACAATTAGATGCATGCATACATATGCACATAAATAGGTTAAACAAATAAGTAATTAATAACATAAATACACACATACATAAATATATAAATAATCAATGATCTAAACGTAAAACATTCAGGGAACAAACATACAGGAACTACTCAATGGTTACATACTCACTATTAACCTTTGGGCGCCGCAGCCACGTCCCCCGCGTCCCCTGCGTCCCATACGTCCCGCGATCTGGAACTCGCCCGACCCTTTGGAAAACGTAGAATACTTTGAACAGCTGGACTCATGCGAATGCTACAACACATGAATGCTAAACTCACCCAAAGGCCCCCTTTTGGAATAATCAACACGACCAGAACAGAACTGAACCGCACCCTTTGCCTTAAGAACAATTCACGCAAAGATGATGCTTCCTTTCCCTAAAAGGCACCCTTGCCTGGTAAAATAACCAAGCCAGATAAAGCAAACAAAATTTGGATTTACCCAACCGCACTTGTCCCTTTGGGGAAAAGCAAGCTAAATAGGATAAACATAGAATACTTAGAACACCTTTCTGAAAAAATTGAATACTTTAAATTGTTAGGCTCATGCGCGTACTATAACAAACATGAATCCTGAACTCCCCAAAAAAGCACAACCCGTTTTGGTTTGGAATGATTAGAAGAATTAGAACAGCACTAAGCCTGGAATGCCTCGACTAGCACCAGTCCCTTTGGGGGCAATAGCGTAATTGGAATACTTGTGATAAGTAGAAAAACTCAAGCCAGCATTGTTCAAAGGCACCCGTCCCGTTGGCAAAAGTAGAACAGCGCGAGCAGTTTTGATAAGTAGGATGATTAATTAGCACACAAGCACTCCGAATTCCAAAAGAGCACCTGTTATTTTGGGATTTCTAAAGCACCCGTTATTTTGGGAATTCTAGACGTCCCAAAGAGCACCCATCCCTTTGAAAATGGATAATTCTCACAACTAGGAAACTACATAAACCGGAGTTCTCCAAATCCCATCCGTCCCTTTAGGGGACATGACGTGAATGCAACAACGCCTATATGAGCATGCAATCTGGGATTCCCCAACTAAGCGGCACCCGTCCCTTCTACAGAAAATCAGCAAACAAATCAAACAAATCAGAGCAGTACTGACCTTTCTCTAACTGTTCCAGTCATTGCAAGTGCTTTGGCATAGTTTGAAGAAGGAGAGAGAAAGCCTGCACCCTGCGAAACCTGACCTCAGAGCCTTCCCGGACCCCTCTGCGACCTCAAAGCTTTCAGTTGGGGAAAAACCAAAAGAAACCTGTCAGGTTGGGTCGTGCGCTTGGAGCAGCCCTTTGGAAGCACGCCCTTGTCTTTGGGACCATGGCAATGGGTGCTTTTCTTGCCCCCCCCCCCAAGAAACAACCGGTGGTCGTCCTTGTGGTTTCCCTGTAAAAAAAAACGTTCAAAGACCCTCAACCCCTCAACCCCTCAACCCCTCAACCCCTCAATCCCTCAACCCCTCAACCCCTCAATCCCTCAACCCTTCAACCTCCAACCCCCAACTGACCCCACCCCCCCGGCAGCCCCCCAACCCACCCCTCCAATCCGCATCGCCGGGCTGCTGCGGTGGACGTGTGGATGGCGTGGAGGCCGTAACCTGTTCCGTGGCCATGGCGGAGGAGGGGCTCGGGGATGCTTTTTCGGTTTGGTTTGGTTTGGTTGCACTGATTTGTTTTGGTGGGTTGGTTTGATTTGGCTTGGTTTGGTTGGTTGGGTTTGGTTGGGCCTGGTTTGGTTCGGCCTAGTTTGGCTTCTTAGTTCTGACTGGTTCGGTCGTATCGGAAGGTGCAGGGAAGCCGACCGTTGCACAACACACATGTCGGCGTTGGCCCGGATATGTCAATGTGTTTCCTTTATAACAAAAATAACTCAAACACATGGACATGCCCGTGTCAACAACGGGCATGTTCCTGCCAAGATAGTAGTCTCCAAACGGGTCAAATGGCACTTTTCCCATACTTTTGATGAAGAGGTGCCATCTTCCAAAGCATGCCCCAGCTGTTCATTGCTCTTCTTTCAGCTGCTGCATCGAGTCTGGCGCTTTGAAGCAACCAGCAGCTCTTTTCGGATCAGCTTCAACTCGTCCTTCCTGCTCCCGGGTTCAAGCGACCTCAAGGAAACCAAGGGCGAGGAGCGCCTCGAAGCGCAGGACAGCGAGATGCCAAGAGGAAAGGTCAAGATGTTTGTGTTGCTCCCCGCTGGCCCATGGCCAAACAACACTACCTGGAGTCTCAAAAAATTAGGCCGTTACCTAAAATAATGGGGGGCATGGACCTATTTCTAAAGGGGCATGGAGACTCCAGATACAAACGTGTCATCAACCAACATGTCTACAATTGTTACAATAGGATCAAACCCTGACATACGGGATACCCGCGTAGACGACCTTCATGACGAGTTCGTTCTGCCCAGGTGAGCTCGCCAGGAAATTTGCCGAATTGGAAACAGCCTGCAGCTCTTTGAAGGAAGCACTTCGAGCTGACTGTCATGAGCATTGTTTGTCGGGTGTCTGCAAAGGCCAACATGACTACATCTGTCGCTTTAAGGCATCCCTGAACCATCCCAAATACGACGATCACGGGGCTCATCAACATGTTCTACCAAAACCACTTTCTCACGTGACTATGACGCTTCTCAAGCCAATGCAAGCTGCAGTCACATTTTGCAGCACAACATATATTATCTGCTTGGTATGCTGATGACTTGGCTGTCATCGAACGTCAGGAAGGAACAAACACTGCTTTGATTCTGGAGCAGAATTCTCTTCAGGCTTGTTCTAGGGCATGCCACACGTGTCGAATCTGACGCGCACATAATCCCAGGATCTCAGCTATCTCAAAAAGAGCCTCCCGCCATATCCTGGTTTCCAAGACGGTATTTGTCTAGGGGTTGATTATCCATTCTTTTCAACCATCGTTATTTTCAAAAACCAGCCGTTTTTCCTTTGATTCCGGAGGTTTTCTGGAAAGAAGGATCCCTGGAAAGAATGCGGAAGGTACCCCCTAAAATTTGGTACAGCCGAAAACTCGGAGTGCTTCAAACTAATATTCTCAAAATGTGACAAGCTGGCAAAGGAAAGTCTGACTCTGAGACAATCTCTTTCACTCTCTCGCCTTCAAGCCACCCCGGACTGCACAAAAGCTAAATCCTCCAGTAGAGCGGTTAGAGTAAGGCTACCCGTGTTGTTGTTTTGCTTTTTGTTTCCCTCCGTTTTTGTTTTATTCTTTTTTATGCTTTTCCTATTTTTTTCTGTATAGTCTATTTTAGACACGGGGAACCCTCCCCCCAAAAAGAGAACCGGTAAAAGTTGGCACCGATCGCTGGGGGACCTATGAGCCTGAGCCATTTCCAAGCCTCGTCCTCGTTGGAGGCTGGCGGCGGAGATGACGCTGGCAAAGGGCTTTAAGCTCAACCTGAGCAAAGGATCAAACATGGCCTTCTCACATGGCGTGGACGGCCCAAAATCAGTCCAAACTGTTTATATTTACCACTAAATTGGTCTGCCCAAAAAAAAAATAAAGTTCATGAACTCAGGGAGTGGGCCTTGGCACATGCCATGTTTGTGTTCCCATGAGCACGGTGGCCAGTGGAACTGTTTCTGGTGTGAAAGTCAGCCGGAGCCACGACCATGTCTCTCCTTCAAGGGTGGTGTGACTTTGAGAGTGGTAACTTGGGGCGGGGGCCTGCGTGGGCACATGAGGTTCCTAAATTGTTGGCCTGCAAAGTTCAAGCAATTATTATCCAATCACACTGGGACTAATGTCACCCCTCACTGCACGCGTTTTCCTCTCGGTGTCCCTTTGAAATGTGCCAACATGTGGGGCGGGGACCTGCTTTGGTAAACCTGCTTCGGCCCTTTGGCCGAGGAAACCACGCATACACTCAGGGAGATCCCACCCCACAGTTCCCGAAGCCATCGGACAGCTAAGTCTTGCACGCCCATGTGCTTTGTCTTGCAGGGCAAACAAAACACGGCATGGCCAACAGAGCCACACCTTGCCCAACCTACCTAGTGATCCATGGATGCATACCGGGACTTCCGGATAGATCATCATCCGAGCAATTGTTGCCAGGTTTGGAAACGTGTACATATCTATATATATATAATTGTTCAAATTGGCTGCAGCTAGCCATAGCATATACGAGCTCTCGCAAAGATTCAACACCGAGAAACGTTTCAGGCTGCAACAAAGCTCCTCTTGGGTGGTCCCGATAGCGAGCTCACAGAATCGGTGGCCTGCTTCTGATTTTCCTTTTCGCCCCGACCAAAATGGAGGGACAGCTCGGAGAAAGATCCCAGCTATAGCTGGCCATGATCCAAAAGGAGGTCCAAGTGGCTGTGGGTCAAAACCAATGGTACCATTTTAGGGTAGGTGCACCACTCATTTTAATCTATTTTAAAGGGGATTGGGATGTTCACTGGGGGTACGGGCTTTTGACCCATGGCCAAGTGTTTGAGCAAGCAGAAGGAATGCTAGTGGTACGGGGAAGTCCTGGTTATGCAGGAAATCTGCTGCAAACGGACGCATGCACCCTGGGGCACTTTGCAGCCTGAGCTGTTGCCACCTGCCTGATGATCTTGGAAGCACCAAAATAATAAACGCCCACGCGCATTCTTTGAGAATGGAGCCATGGTTCTGTTCTGTTTTTTGTTTGGTTGTACAACGCATCAAATGCGCTCGACTATGAATCTTTCGGATTCTGGCGTCTCATCACTGACGGCTGAACAATAAGCTAGATACATCTACACATATCCAACATGCTAATAAATTCCCCCCAAAAAAAAACATCCATCCCAACATGAAAATGAATATATCCAACATGTAAATAAACCGCCAAAAAGCAAAAGAGGCCAACTTGTCCGGTTCAACCTGCGGATGCTCTTTCCAAGACGCTGAGCTTCAATGCTGGGGCCATACTCGTCCCCCACCTCGCCACTCGCCGGCGCGCAGGGGGCGCGTTTGCAGTGAGGCTACGGGATAGAAAAAGGAAATCCGAGCTGAAGCCAACGAGTGACCAAACACCGTGGGGATTTGAATTTGCTCTGCCACTATTGCTCTGGTACAGAGACCCTACCAATGGATAACCCACCACAAGCTTGGGGGTTTGGTCGGCCAGGCGCAGGAGCGAACAGCTGGACGGATTGAACAGGCAGGAACAAAATCACTCAAACAGCTCCAGGCAGGGCCTGAAGTACCAACCACCATGACACTTGCGGCAAACTAGCCGAATGCATTTTATTGGACAAACGAACCAGCGGGGATACTGAGGGAGCCGTTTCCCGTATCAAACTTCCGCCAGGTGCATTTAGGGGGCATCCTCCGTATCCCTGGTTCCCCCTGTATCCCTGCTAGCTTGTTTCCCTGAATTTAGCTGGCCATTTCATCCGTTCATGCCATCCTCTGGTCTAAAACGAATCCAGGGGATCCCGTCGTCATCTAGCGCTCTTGGCAAGGTGGCGGCGCGACTTCAAGTCGGGACCCTCGAAAATGACCTTGTTCCCTTTGTCGTGCCTTTAAAACAACCCCAAAAGGGCCCCTAATAAAAGAAAACTGCCAACTATGTAGACATTGTCTGTTTAAATGCAAACAAACCACACCAAAACTACACCCCCAGCCACAGCTGGTGATGCGGCCAAAGCAGCAAGGGTGTTTTGCATGTAGGTCAATAGGTAACTCCTTTCCATGGTGATTTTACCAGTGCTTCTCGCTGAACTCATCCAAAGAAGGGGAGCCTATGTTGACAAGTTGGAACAACTCCATGACACGATTGTTCCTTTTGGGAGCTACAGTGGATGGACGAAACCATTGTTTGTTGGCATTTACAGGGGAATCGCATCATTCCAGGGCTTTTTTAGGTGCTACGAACGGATTTCGCAACCAGTATGGCAATGCATGCCTGGCTGGGAGAGCGCAGCGAGCCTGGTAGTTCGCAAAGAGGCAAAACCAGAGAGCAGCGGATCCTCAGATGTGCTGATCCCATGGGCAGGTCCCTGTCAAGCCGAATTTCCAACGCGGACAAACGACCCCAAGACTTCCATTTGCTCAAGCCCCCTGGAAAAAAAAACAAATACTGTCCAATAGTGATGGATTCCCTTTAAAGCCAACAGGGCCAAAAAAAACTTAAGCACATGGAAGAAGATCCCTGAGACGCGCTCAAACTATTCCCAGTGCTACCGCTCGGCGACGCTTTAGAGCTCGCAGCTCGAGCACTTTAGGGGAAGCACCGTTGGCTCGGCAACGACTTCGAGTTCGCGGCAAAGAACTCATCAACATGATGCCAGGCTTGAGAGCAGCGATCCCAAATGAGGGCGTGGCAGCCTCTCCCTCACATCCTCTAGATCCAAGTCGCTTGGCACATTTGCCCTTCGCACGTGCTCCATGACGGCGGACTGACATTCCTGCAAAGCAAGTGTTGATGCCATGCCGGCCTGTCAGAGCAGACGGTCAGGTAGGGTACTCGGATGGTGCTTGGATGGTAACTTGGTTGTTTGATTGGTTGGATGGTTGCTGGGTTGCCGCACTATTCATGGTGGCACTGAGGTGCACTGCTGCCCCCAAATCTGCACTTCAGTTCAGTCGCAAAACATTAAAAAACCACTGACTCACCCGGTGTGCGACTAACTCGCAACGTGCAAGCAAAGATAATCAATCAGCTGGCTTGCTTCAGGGGGATCCAATACGCAATCTGTCAACTAAAAGGGAACGTCGTCCTTCTGGATCGTTTTACACAGCGACACCGACATGAAGCAAAAAGATATGTAGGGGTCCTCTATCTCACATGAACCCGTGTCATCCAGCCCTCATTCCATTCGGAAGGCTGGCAATGCTCCTCCACATCTTCTGCCCAGGCATGTGACAGCATGAGCTGCGCCGAGTCCTGACCGGGATCAGTGAGGGGTGTTGGGAGGGGAGGGGAGGAAGGGTTTGTTGGGTGGTTGGGTTGCTTGGTTGGTTGTCCCTGATGATGACCGACTATGGCTCTTTGCGAGTCTCCCTGACCTGCCTGCAAATCCGCCGACCCCATGCCTGGTCCAGAATGGACCATGCTTTCGGCATGGGGGCGGTGTGTTCTGTGTTGCTTTTGTTGATATGCTTTCTATAAGTTTAATGTGAATATGATTATGTAGATATATATGTATATATAGATATAACCTATATGTCCCTTGGGGCGGCCCTTGGGGCTGGTTTCTACGTCGGCTGGATTTCTGGATTTCTGGATTTCTGGATTTCTGGATCTCTGGATTTCTGGATCTCTGGATTTCTGGATCTCTGGATTTCTGGAATTCTGGATTCCCCCCCCCTCCCCCCCTCCCCCCCCCCCCCCTCCCCCCCCCCCCCCCCCCTCCCCCTCCCCCTCCCCCCCCCCCCCCCCCCTCCCCCCCCCCCCCCCCCTTCCCCTCCCCCCTTCTTCCCGTAGTCTTCCGTAGTCTTCCGGCTTCTCCCAGTAATCTTCCGTAATCTTTCGGCTTCTTCCCGTAGTCTTCCGTAGTCTTCCGTAGTCTTCCGGCTTCTTCCCGTAGTCTTCCGTGGTCTTCCGCCTTCCGTAATCTTTCGGCTTCTTCCAGTAGTCTTTCGTAGTCTTCCGGCTTCTTCCCGTAGTCTTCCGTAGTCTTCCGTAGTCTTCCGGCTTCTTCCCGTAGTCTTCCGAAATCTTTCAAGCTTCTTCCCGTAAATTTCCGCAATCTTTCGGCTTCTTCCGTAGTCTTCCGTAATCTTCCGGCTTCTTCTCCTAGTCTTCCGATACTGTTTCGGGACCAAACAACGCGCGTGTCCTGTGCTTTCGGGCTTCTTCCCTAGGCTTCGGGTAGTCTTCCCCCACCCCTCTGCCCCCCCCTGCGTCTGTCTATGTCTGTCTACGTATCTGCATCTGTCTTCGTGTCCGCGAAGACCCCCCCTGCCCCTGCGTGTCTGTCTGCGTCTCTTTGTGTCTGTCTGGGTCTGTCTGCGTCTGTCTTCGTGTCCGCGAAGACCCCTTGCGTGTCTGTCTCTGTCTCTTTGTGTCTGTCTGTGTCTGTCTGTGTCTGTCTACGTATCTGCGTCTTTCTTCGTGTCCCCCCCCCCCGCGTGTCTGTCTGTGTATTTGTGTCTGTCTGGCTCTGTCTGCGTCTGCCTGCGCATCTGCGTCTGTCTTCGTGTCCGCGAAGACCCTCCCCCCCCGCTGCGTGTCTGTCTGCGTGTCTTTGTGTCTGTCTGCGTCTGTCTACATATCGCCTGCTTTCTCTCGTCCCGGGCCGAAATTCTAAGGTGCGTGGGGGCGGCGGAACCAGGCCGCAGGCCATTAAATAAACCAGGAAGCTCCCCCATTCTTTTCGGAGTCCGGAAGCGTCTAAAGTCACACATCCCTTTCCATGCTCAACTCAATTGCTTTGCTCACCTGGGAGGATTCACCCCAAGTCGCAACTGTCGCAACTGCTTCGCCCAGAAGCTCAGCCGGTGACAGAGAACCTTCGGATACCTTCAGCTCCCTTAGCCCTTTCTGAGCACGCGAGGTTCACCATGCCTTACAGAAAGCACGGCCTTTGCAGCACTTCGACAGATGTTTTCATGTCGCCAGAATCTGCTTGAACTTCACACCTGAGCTGTGGTATGGGGTGTCCAATTTACCGTCAAGTCTGAGGGGTTGGGTTGGCCAAGGACTGCCACCGATCTGGCAAAAAAAGAAGCTAGCAACGACATGGATGGTTCATGCTCACCCCAAGCCATAAAGATGTGTGGAGATTCCGACTGACTGGAAGAGGACAATGAAGAGCCTGGGTGTAAGAAATCAAGGCGTATGTGCTCATCTTTCCACACTGTACACCCGCGCGCTCCTCGCGGTGTTGGCTCATCATCACTGCCACGCCACATCCTTCTCCTGGAGCTATGGCCAGGACAAAAGTGGAGCCTTCAGCTGCCCAAAGAGTTTGTTCGGAGAGGTGAACGCCTCTGCTTGTCCAAGTTTACCAATTCCAGAAACGTGTTTGCGCGTGTATATATATATATATATTCGATACCTATGCGCATTGCACTGTGCACTGTGTCCTACTTCTCCGTATTAGTTCTGCAGCACGTGCAGTGGACAATATCAGAGGCGGCAACGAGCCGCTGAAGAGAGAAACCCAAATCTCAGTGGCATCTGACGCCAAACTTGGGCAAGGAGAGCTACTAGTAGCTCTCCCCTAAAGACAAGAGGGAATAAATGTCAGAACAAGGGTTTCCAAAACAGGGCCTTCCTTCCGGGCAGTGCAAAAACCCTCTTGCCACCGAACAACTACGGCCCTGGCGCTCTCGAGCATTGAGTCACCAAGGGCCAAAGACCCACGAAGAGTGGCGCCTCTTGTCCAAGGCTTGACGTACTCCTGGTTCAAGTCGTACCTGTCGTGGGCAAACCAGGGACCACACCATCCCTCGGCCCAACCACTCCTGAGAGGGTTCTGCGAGAGAATAGAAGGCACAACAGAAGACGGAGAGACTAAAAGACAGAGAGGTATAGAGACAGAAACGAGGGTGAGCTTCTAAGTCATTGGAGAACGAGTAGGTGAAGGGCTGATCAGTGAAGACTAAGGCGAGGTGGGCACTGGAAAGGAAACTGGACAGTGGGAGGTCAAAAACATCTAGAGACTGGTGAAGACAGAAGTCCAGCAAGAGAGCGAAGGCTGGAGGCCGTAGCATAAGGCCGAAAGGGGGAAAGAGTCATCTGGAGGCAGGGCCTGCGATGTGACAAACGCCGCGCTCACAAGCAAAAACCAGGCGCACTCACAAGCGAGATCGAGGCGCGCTCGCAAGTGAGTAGGCGACCGGGCGCGAAACCCTTGCCCCTAGTTCAATGTTGAACAGTGACGCATGAGAGAGGTGCCATAGTTTTGCGAATTGCACGGTTTGGCATGTGTATGTTCGAAGAACCAATGTTAAGTTGGGAGGCGTGGCGAGAATGTTCTCATTTGGGTGGTGCAGGATTTCTTTCGTAACAGTTCCTCAGTTGTCGCACGGGATTGCAAGCGCCTCTGTAGCACTGTGACTTCAGTCGCTGGCAGCAAATGAAACAAATGTGGACCACGGCCCATGTCTGTTTCATGAAAGGGCAACACCGCAAGCCTGACAAGACTCGGCAGATTAGGTAGCTTACCAAGCGCTAAGTGGCGACTTCGTAGTGTTTCGCCAAGTCGCTCAACCACTGCGAGACCTCAGCAAACATTAAGCAACATGCGTGATATAGGTCTACAGCTGAAGCTTGACTGTTACATTCTAGGGCAAAAACCGTGAGCCCCCCGGCCCAACATGAAAGGTTTTAGACACCTTCTTAGCAAAGGGCACAAACACCTTTCTACATGAGAAATCGCCACAGCCGTCTACGGCGCGTGTTCCAACTACTCTCCTGCCAATGAACATGGACCCAAAAAAGAATGCCCCCGAAAAGAAGATCCCTGTAAATGTTGCAGGGATCAGGGGAGTAAGTCTCTGAATCCACCTCTTTCCTTGAAAGCCAGTGTGTGTGTCTCTTTGAGGGAACCCTTTTCAGGTTGGTTGAAAGGCAAATTAACAGGACAACCGCAATTTTGCTCCCCCAACAAACTGACACATGCCCAGCTGATCAGCGAGTCGCTCCGCTGTGCAAGGACCAGCTCTGGTTTCACGCATGTCATTGCCATACCGAGCAAAAAACTAGACATAATTTGCCTTCATGTCCTCCCCCCCCCCCCGCATTCACGATGCTAGCAGTTCTAGTAGTAGCACTTCGGAGGGCCGGAGATAAAGAAGCATCTAGCCTTGGTGGTCTCCACGCAGACCGCTCACTCCAGGATGGAAATTTCCTGCCAAACCTGTTATGAGGGGGGCGTCAATGGTGTGGATGGTGGTGGTGGTGGTGGTAGTGGTGGCGGTGGTGGTGTTCGTGTTGGTCGCAGTGCGAGCGTGGGAGAGGAGTCGATGTCGATTTGTCACTGCCGCATCAAGATAGCATCCTTCATTCCCTCACCTCATCTCACCTCACCAAGCCACATAATAGAGGCTTGGGATAATGGGTTTCTTCGTGATCAAGGTTAACCGCTATGACGAAGAGATGAGGAATGAAGCGGTGAGGATGGGAACGGTCTGTTTCCTTCGTTCCCCATCCCTTGGCCAAGCCATAGAATAGAGGCTTGGGATATATTTGGATTTATATTTATAATAATAAAAATCCAAATGAAGGGAAATATTAAAATGAAAAGAAAAGCATTTTATGAGTAATCATTTGATTTTAGTATATTTCTTTCCGTTGTTTGCATGCCTTGGGTTATCTTCCCTGTCAGTCTTTTCCGTAATTAATAAACACCTTCAAATATAAAACAATAAATATATGTAAAGATAAGGTAAAAGAAAAATAATATAATGTTAGGATTGTATTAATAGCATTTCCAGTTTTAATTATTTGTATATGCTCTTAATCCTGATATTAATGTTCCTTCTCATTTGGATTTTAATATGTCTATTAATATAATTCCAAATGAGATGAAAGAAAGGTAAAGATGGAATGACAAAGATAAAGATGCCATCCCTTTCTTTCACCTCACCAAAGCCATAGAATAGAGGCTTGGAGGTGTCCCTCAGAAGTGTTGTCAGAAGTGCTGTTCAGAACTGTCGATCAGAAGTGCGGATCAAAAGTGTCGCTCAGAGGTGTCGATCAGAAGTGTTGCTCAGAAGTGTCGCTCAAAAGTGTCGCTCAGAAGTGTCGATCAAAAGTGTTGCTCAGAAGTGTCGCTCAGAAGCCTCAAGCAGAAGTGTTGCTCGGAAGCCCCGCTCAGAAGTTTCGATCGGATGTGTTGCTCAGAGGCGTAGTGTCGCTCAGAAGCGCCGCTCAGATGTGTCGCTGACATATGTTTTCAGGAGGGCCGCTCAGCAGTGTTGCTGGTGCGTGTGTGTGTGTGGAAGGTGGCTCAGACGTGTCGCTCACAGGTGTTTTCAGAAGTGTCGCTCACACGTGTCGCTCAGTGTTGCCCAAAAGTGTGTTCAGAAGCGTCGCTCACAAGCGATGCTTACATGTGTGTGTGTGCGCGTGTTTGCTCGGAAGTGCTGATCAGAAGCATCGATCAGAAGTGTTGTTCAGAACTGTCGATTATAATCGAGGTGTCGGTCAGAGGTGTCGATCAGCAATGTCGAATCAGCAGTGTTGCTCTGAAGTGTGCATCAGAAGTGTCGATCAGAAGTGTCGATCAGAAGTGTTGCTCGGCAGTGTCGCGCAGAAGTGTCAGTCCCAAGCGCGTTGCTCAGAAGTGTCGCTCAGAAGTGTCAATTCAGCAGTGTTGCTCAAAAGTGTCGCTCAGAAGTGTGTCGATGCGCAGCGTGGACCAGAAGTGTTGATCAGAAGTATTGCTCAGAACTGTCGACCAGAAGTGTGGATCAGAAGCGTCGATCCGAAGTAGGGATCAGAAGTGTCGATCAGACATGTTCATCAGAAGCGTCGGTCACATGTCGCTCAGAAGTGTAACTCCGAAGCGTCGATCAGAAGTGTTGCTCAAAAGTGTTGCTCGGATGTCGGTCGGAAGTGTTGCTCAGAAGTGTCGATCAGAAGTGTTGCTCGGAAGTGTTGATCAGAATTGTTTGACAG